GGTGTGTTGTGTAGGTGTGCGGAACGAAGGTCATTTTGCGCGCATACGCATGCACGTGCGGGCGCGTGAAGTGAGTGAAATGACTGATATACTTAATATGGCCATAACTTTTCCATTTTTTGATGAAATGCTTTGAAACTCATAACATGAAGATATATTTATAGTGTTAATACCGTGACACTGTCAGATTACCAAGAACTCACGCGCGTGCACGTGAGCTTCGCTCTGATTGGCTGAAACAAAAATCTCAATATCTCTTTTGTTTTTTGATGAAATGCTTTGAAATTTTATACATAGTCATGAAATGGGATATCCTACAATATGATGTAGAAAAAATTTCATGAAATCACGCGCATGCATGTGTGCTGCAATCTGATTGGCTGAAACTTTAAATGACTATATCTCCTTTGTTTTTTGATGAAATACTTTGAAATTTAAAACATAGTCATGCATTGGGATATCCAACAATATGACATAGAAAAAATTTCATGAAATCACGCGCATGTACGTGTGCTGCAATCTGATTGGCTGAAACTTTAAATGACTATATCTCCTTTGTTTTTTGATGAAATGCTTTGAACTTTTATACATAGTCATGAAATAGGATATCCTACAATATGATATAGAAAAAATTTCATGAAATCACGCGCATGCACGTGTGCTGCAATCTGATTGGCTGAAACTTTAAATGGCTATATCTCCTTTGTTTTTTGACGAAATGCTTTGAAATTTAAAACATAGAAATGCTTTGAACTTTTATCATCAGGATATCCTATGAAATCACGCGCATGCACGTGTGCTATCTGATTGGCTGAAAAAAAATCTCCTTTGTTTTTTAATGCTTTGAAATTTAAAAAATCACGCAATGCATACACGTGTGCTGCAATCTGATTGGCTGAAAGTTGAAATGGCTATAACTCCCTTGTTTTTCAACCAAACAGGATGGGATTTAGAACCTTGATAGATATAAGAGACTCCTACAAGAAGGTATGGTCTTCATGCACGTGCACGCACGTGCGTGCATTTGGAACGAGCGAAATTAAAAGTACACTTGAATGAGTAATTTTTAATACTTTTGGACTGAATGCTTTAAAATATAGTATATTAAAATATATAGATAGTGTAGACAAGATGATATGGTCATAACGCACATGCATTCACATGCATACGGGTGCAATGCTTTAATTTGAATATAATTGGTATTCTTCTGTTAAAGTCAAAAATGCACAGAATTTGTCTTATTGACTGAAGCTTACAAGGAATATGGCACCAAAAGGGAGTTGGGGAGCGTTTGGGAACATCTGTAACGGTTCCCGTTACAATTAGCACTAGTTTACTTTAGTCTCCGAGTCCGTAATCGCGTAAACAGCGTTAAAAATCTGCTTGCCGAGTGGAAAAGTCGAATTCAACAATGAAATGGTATATGTAAAGTAAGTATTCCCGAAAAATGCTAAAAGATATCCTTGATAATTGTTTTGCATTCTTACCTTCAGAGTTCTTCACTATATCTTTTAAATTTTCCTCGCCTACAACTTGCAAACTGTTTGACTAAAGCGAAAGTGAAAACGAGGCAGCTCGTGCGAGTCATTATTCGCTTTCAGCGGTCATTATTAAAATATAATTACTTCTTATTGACCAATCAGATAATCGGATTTCACAAAGTTATATAATATTACAAAATGCTGTATACAATTGAAAATTTACTCCTTTTTACTCTCCTAAATTTGGTATAACAAGCCCGTATGATTGTTTCATTTAAAAACCCGTGCATGATCGTTTTATAAATAGTTCTTTTGTCCCGACTCGATGGGCAGAGTTATAGAAAATCGTGGGTTATGTACAGAAAACCCACACTTTTAACAAAAGAAATCACACCCAACTATGGTACAAGGTATAGATAACAGTACCACTATTTCTTGATTATCAAGAATGATAACCATCAGAAACTTGCCTTCATTTGAAGAGTGCAGGACACTTTTCACTTTTTAACTACGACGAGTCAATGTTAATAAATTCATTAAAAATATTATTTGGATAATTCACAAACATTAGCTTTCTGTCTGTGTCAAAGTTAAACATTTAAAACAGACATACCCCCTGCATGTTCTCTGCTTCTTTGAGAGCGATAAGAGTAAACGCCGTGAGAGTCCTCTCACCTGCTGCTGAGCCGCCCTTAAAATAAAAAAAAAAAAACAAGAGGCCCATGGGCCACATCGCTCACCTGAGTAACTTGGGTGATGTAGTTCTTTACCAGATTCCCCCTCTTGCTAACCCTATCATGCCCCACTACCCCCTTCCCTTTTATGATTTTAAAACTTTAGAATCTACACTACCCCTGGATGCTTCCACATAAGTTTCAGCTTTCCTGGCCCAGTGGTGCTTGAGAAGAAGATTTATTCTATATATTTCTATGTAAAACTTGGATTCCCTATTGTGGCCCCGCCCTACCCCCGGGGGGTCATGATTTTAACAATTTAATATTTACACTACCCAAGGATGCTTCCACATACCATAAGTTTCAGCTTTTCTGGCCCAGCGGTTCTTGAGAAGAAGATTTTTAAAGATTTGTTCTATATATTTCTATGTAAAACTTGGATTCCCTATTGTGGCTCTGCCCTACCCCCGGGGGTCATGATTTTAACAATTTATTATCTACACTACCCAAGGATGCTTCCACATAAGTTTCAGTTTTCCAGGCCCAGTGGTTCGTGAGAAGAAGATTTTTAAAGATGTGTTCTATATATCTCTATGTAAAACTTGGATTCCCTATTGTGGCCCCGCCCTACCCCCGGGGGTCATGATTTTAACAATTTAATATTTACACTACCCAAGGATGCTTCCACATACCATAAGTTTCAGCTTTTCTGGCCCAGCGGTTCTTGAGAAGAAGATTTTTAAAGATTTGTTCTATATATTTCTATGTAAAACTTGGATTCCCTATTGTGGCTCTGCCCTACCCCCGGGGGTCATGATTTTAACAATTTATTATCTACACTACCCAAGGATGCTTCCACATAAGTTTCAGTTTTCCAGGCCCAGTGGTTCGTGAGAAGAAGATTTTTAAAGATGTGTTCTATATATCTCTATGTAAAACTTGGATTCCCTATTGTGGCCCCGCCCTACCCCCGGGGGTCATGATTTTAACAATTTAATATCTACACTACCCAAGGATGCTTCCACATAAGTTTCAGCTTTCCTGGCCCAGTGGTTCTTGAGAAGAAGATTTTTAAAGATTTGTTCTATATATTTCTATGTAAAACTTGGATTCCCTATTGTGGCCCCGCCCTATCCCCGGGGGTCATGATTCGAACAATTGAATATCTACACTACCCAAGGATGCTTCCACATAAGTTTCAGCTTTCCTGGCCCAGTGGTTCTTGAGAAGAAGATTTTTAAAGATTTGTTCTATATATATTTCTATGTAAAACTTGGATTCCCTATTGTGGCCCCGCCCTACCCCGGGGGGTCATGATTTTAACAATTTAATATCTACACTACCCAAGAATGCTTCCACATAAGTTTCAGCTTTCCAAGCCCAGTGGTTCTTGAGAAGAAGATTTTTTAGTGACCCCACCCTATTTTTGTCTTTTCTTGATTATCTCCCCTTGTAAGGAGACTTGGCCCTTCATTTTAACAATTTGAATTTCCCTTCTTCTAAGAATGCTTTGTACCAAGTTTGGTTAAAATTGGCCCGTTGGTTCTTGAGGAGAAGTCGAAAATGTGAAAAGTTTACAGACGGACGGACGGACGGACGACGGACAAAATGTGATCAGAAAAGCTCACTTGAGCCTTCGGCTCAGGTGAGCTATAAATACGTCAGTGAGGTACGTAGTTTGTACAGAAACGCAGATTCAATGTACAGTGTTCAATTTCTATAGACAGCTGTAGTTAATTTTGTGCTTTTCTCTCTCTCTCTCTGTATGCTTTACTCTCTCTCTCTCTCTCTCTCTCTCTCTCTCTCTGGCATTAAGATCAAAATACTCAATAAATCGGTCGGGGAACATTTCAACTTTGAAGGTCACAAATAGGGGACAGGACAGTAGTGGCGATTGACCATATCCCAAGATGGACAGACGCTGAGAGAAAAGGCAAAGAAAAGCTCTGGATGCACAGATTGAAGTCATTCTGATACATTTATTTATAGTCGTATTACCTGCATTCTGCTGTTTATGACTATGCCTGGTTCTCTGAAGGTTCCATTTTTGTTTTGTTGAGAAATGAGCCAGGTTACGGCATCCCTTACCACATTCTCGTCAATGGTGATAAAATCTGAGGCCTGAGCGAACGACTTCACAACAAAAGCAGTCAACCTGTAATTAGTTTTACTCTTCAAAACTTAAATGATACTTTTTATATCATACATGTAGTTACAGAAATAAAAGTATTCCTATGGTCTACATTAGAATTAAAAAGATATCTTTTCTAATCCAACAAATTTGATAGATAAACATTACCGTAAAACGTTTCAAATTTTTGTTTTCCAAAATGGCATATATTCTTCAAATATTCGTTTGCATTTGAAGCGTAATTAAACTCGATTATAAGTAAACAAATCTTCTTACCAAGTACTACCTGAAGCGTCACTCTTGCCAAAAGCGCTGTATGATCCGTCTGGATGGACATATGTCATCTGCCTCTGGTAACCTGAAATAAGCAAGATCAAATACATGTACCAGTATCTCAAACATATGCCAAAAGTTTTAATTGTCAACATATAGAAATCGCAAAGGAATTCACTTCTGTCCTCCTTCGTCTCAACCCCGGGTTGAACTTCGATCACGAAATCTTTCTCCAAGCAGTAAAGGGACAACGCAATAGACCGTCCGCTATCTAAGCAAGTCAAAAAACTTGCTTCGATTCCAATGGAATTCTCGCGGGGCCGTCCTACACTACATGGTCAGTAAGAATGGAAGCGAGATACATTTATTTTATAGTTCTATTGGAGTATTGTAAGAAAAAGAAAAATATAACCTTTGATCATGTATTCTTTAGCTTTCTTTTCTAGGTCTGGTGTTAGGTTATTTGTAACTTTTAGGTATTTCTGTACGAATATATTGGGAGCAAAGTTCAGGATGTTCTGTTCACCACATCCATATGGCATCTTCAGTAGCGAATCTAGTCCATTGATTGATGGACCCATCACATCACCTGCAAGATTAAAAAAAAAAGATTATAGACATATATCAGTACATATTTCCTTCAGAAAAATCCGTAGAAATTGTTTCATTCACTTTTCTCAAGCTTGTCAGAAGTAATACAAAATGCTCATATTAGTTTGAACAAACGGCAATGAACACCCAAATATATTATATTATCATTAAATACTAACGACCAGAAATCAAGTTCAAGAGTCCATAAATACAATAAATATAGACAACAGAGTTAACAAGGACCTCTAAAACATGAGGAAAGGGATCAGGTGTCACGGAGGAGTAAGAATCACATGTTAACATGTTGTGTGCTCCTTCTCATGTTGGCCCAAAAGAAAAATCTCTAAATTCAGTTAAAATAATAAAAAATAATCAATTACTTTTAAAAAAGTCAATTAGAAGTCAACTTAATGATAGCTTCTATTTACTGAAAGGACCATTGTATCGACCATAGATCTTTGTAAAATTCTGACATTATACGAGACTGTTGATATTCTTGTATTTCATAAATGTTCTTGTAAATGAAACATATGGTGATAACGAACGGTATTCAAGACGAAAAGTTCATAAAATAATGCAAAACAGGAGCAGAGCAAACACAGATTTCAAAACATAAGAGGTGGGATCAGGTGCCATGGAGGAGTGTGCATCCCCTGTCGACCGGTCACATAGGCCATATGGTCATTGTCATAATTGGGAAATAACGGAAAATCACATCGCCAATTCAGTGTATAAATAATGGACTAACAATTAGTATGACAAATGTCACTCAGCATTTGACTCAATGATAAATTGTATTTGCCATTGTATCGACCATAGAACTTACAAAGAACTTACAAAACGATTCAAGCTCACCAGGATATATTATCGACGTAGGAATGGAAACTACCATTGTTAATTGACAAAACGTCATCGATATATCTAAATGTCGAGTTGAAGGCCACAGCATGTGTTTTTTTTCTTTTCGTGCATAAGATTTTGCACAAATTCTGCTTCATATGAATATTAAAATAGGTCTGTTCATAATGGAGCACAATACGTCTGCTCATAATGGAGCGCAATTGGTTCCCATGGGAATTCCAATAGATTGTTGGAATACCTGGTCTCAAAAACCACATAGATATTATCAATCAGCAATTCAAGCATCTTTTTGATGTCAACTTCAGAGTACTTGTGTATGCAATCAAGGCTTTGATAAACCAGTATCTGTTTGTACCGCAAAATTCCGGAAGAAATCTCTTCTCGATATTTAGTTTTATATCAAACATTAATAAGAAAGTTTGTCCTTGTTCTATTTAATTTAAAGAAAATATCTTTTTTTTCTTTCTTTTTCAGAATTTACATAAATTCCCATCTTTCTTCTATGGATTATATAATTCGAAGAAAGTTTTTATCCAGAAGGAAAAAGAGAACTTAAAAGACGTTTTCAAGGATATTAATTTCTTACGACAGTTTAATCATCGAAACATCGTTAATATTATTGGTTTTTCAGCACTACGGGAGCCTGTTTTACTTCTTATAGAATACCTTTCTGGTAATATCATAAATATATCTTGGAATTATATATTTTAATACAAATTACTAAAAGTAAATTTAAACGTTTTTTAGATAAAAATTATGTAAAACTCATGGCTCGAAGAAATTTTATTAACAGTAAAAAAAATCAGTTAAATAATCAATTACATTGAAATCGTTGCATTCGTGTACATTTTTTTTTTACCTAATTTCTTCTACATCAATTTTTTTTGCAAGGTATGAGACAATATAAAAAAAAATCCGATGATCATACTTTTCAAATACACGTTTTACTACAAACAGAATTTCTATTAGATTTTTAACTTTTTTCTATATACAGGTGGTTTGTTGTTGCATTATCTTAGGATGAGAGGAGACTCTTTAAATTCAAGGCAGAAAATCAGAATGTGTCAGGATGTCGCAAATGGAATGGCCTACTTACATCGCAAAAAATGTATTCACAGGTAAAAATCACCACTTGTTTTGCTGATTATAAACATTCTTTTTTCTGAGGCATGGTGAGGAGAATAGTCCTGCCAACAGATTTGTAGCTCACCCATTCTGAAAACAATTGAGATAGACGATATTAAAGATAAGGTGCTGAGACTAGTATTGGAAAAGGTGTTTTATTTAAATTGCATAATTTAATATTGCATGTACACGATTTAAAAGCTATATCTATACATTTTAGATGCCATCTCATCAATGCATTTATGTTACTTTTTGGAACAAATTTCTATTTATTATCTTTAATAAGGAATTTCACTTTTTTCCTTGATTTTGGAAAATACCTAAAATCCCTATTCTGCATAGAAAAAAATGTGCACTTACTGTTTTCAGTTAGGATATCATGTATTTCTTATATTTTTTAAAAGCTTTTTACTGTATTTACTGACTGTTTTTGTAAGATAGTTTTAAGTTATGAATCGTAAAATACGCAATATACATAAATTGTTCGAAATGGTCATCGAATGAATTCAAAGTTACTTTTTTATAGATACTTTTATTTAAACAATTTTTTTTCTATTCGTCCCATTCTTTTAGACTATCCATCCACGATTTAATACTTTTATTTTCACCAAATAGAAACCCTGAAGCATCAAATTTGCAAATAAAACAATTTTCATATTTTCTCTGAAAAATGCAAACAATTATAACTATTAAAATGATAAATGTAACAGAGCAATTAATTTTTTTTAAATGATAAAATCTCAATTCAAAGCATTCCTTCTTAAACGGAATTTTAAAAATGAGGTGCACTGATTCCTGTGTCCTAAATAATAAATTACACTTGAAAATTACAAAACATATGAAATGGATCTTATGCAAAACATTTTTGATGTGTACAAGAACAGGTAATTCGAAAAATGAAGGCTATGTAGATAACGAACAGTATTCAATCTCAGAGTCCATAAAACAATACAAAATAAGCGCAGAGCAAATGCAGACCTCCGAAATATCAGAGTTGGGATCAGTTGCCATGGAGTAGTAAGCATCCCCTGCTGACTGGTCACACCCACCGTGTGCTCATTGTCATGATCAGGAAATAAAACTTTGGTGACAATCTTGATTCGGGAATCAGCTATAGACGTTCTAATTTTAATATTTTAATATTTTTGTGACTTTAAGGACTAAGACAACAAATGCCTGATCAGGATCGTATATCACCAATAATTATACTCCATCAAATGAAGATAATTACCATCCCGTCATATGTTTTCGTGGTATTTTTTTATTTTTAGGAATAATCGCACAATGCGAAATCGAAATGACGTCATATTTGCAACTAATAAAGTGGAACCCTGTGGATGTTTTATGATCAGATGTTAAACCTTTTTGCATTTGCCAAAATAAAATATAACGAGTGAGTTATGCATCGTTCGCAAATGACAATTTGCGTAATATACACTTATTCGTCGAGTTTTGAACTAGAATACCAAACTTACAAATTAATAGCCAGCGATATTGCATATCATCCATACAGCTACCGATCATATGACAATAATTTGGAATTTCTCACTTTTGATATTTTTTCTACGGTGATGTAGTGACGTCATCTTTTTAAATATAATTTTCAAAGAAAATATCGGTGGTTTTAAAAAGTTATATGATAAAAAAATATTGTGTCATTGATAATCAATTTATATAAACATTTAATTTCTTTCAATATACATGGTATTTATATTTTAAAACATGAAACATTCAAATAAAGCTTTACAAATTTACTTTTAGGCCACTCTTGAGAAAGAGAAAACTTTTACATTATTTAGTAATACAGTTCCTGCACGCTTAGATAGATGTGGTCTTAATCAACAACAAATAAATTTTCATGTAAAAGAATGTAATCATTATGTCAGTTAACTTGTACATTTGATACTGTAAAATTTGTAAGGATTTCGTCTGACTAGATTTCCGTAGTTAACTTGTTTTAAAATACCACGAAAACATATGACGTCAGCAAAAAAAAAAAATCGAAAGAGCAACTATGCAAGAATTCAATGACTTTCTGAACAAATAACAATTGATATTTGAGTTGATATCATTTTAAAATAAGGGGAATTATTGTTTGTATGTGTGATAAATAGCAAACAACTGAATATTTCAGTCTTGAAGCACTTTATTACAAATTAACCGTAATGCCAAGAAAACTCATGATTCGAGGGTATATATAATGCATTCTTTCGACCTTCGTAACTTTGTACCTTTGAACGAAGACAACTAGTGAAAAAATTAAGATTTAGGAACCTCGATAAAAAAAAAATATTAGCTAAATTACGTTTTTAATTTTTATTTCTTTTTGTTCAGAGACCTAGGAGCAAGAAACTGTGTAGTCGGTGAAGATTCCACAGTTAAGATTTTCAATTTCCGGATGGCAGAAATGGGGGATGAGTATAAATTTATCAGTGCATATTCTTATGCTTCAAAATGGACACCACCCGAGTCTATTCTATCAGGTAAACATAATAATGTATAAAAAGTTCGAATGACGATATTACGTTTTATTGCTAAATAACTATAGACCAAATGCAATGGAATATTTTACCTTATAGTTATTCCCTTTAGCCGCCATATTGCCGGGCAACATTCCCAGATCCCATCATTAAACAACCAAGTTTTATTTTGTTAAACTGTTAGCTGAGGTAAAAATAATCCTTCCCTATGCGAACTTTACGGACAACCCTCATATATGTATGTATTTGTAGTATCTTTCCATTTTATAAACATGCAGAGAGCAAATATCTTATTATGTATAAATTTTGTAGAGGTCAATACATTGCCGAATCATCCGGCTGAGGCAGACAATATGGTTCTTGTATCCGACAGAACGCAAGTCGCCCTCGATCGCAGTCAATAAAATGTATAGGGATTTCAAAATTATATACTTTTAAAGATCTTCAACTATTTTTCTAATTTTAGGTTGGCGACCGTTCTTATTAAATTGCTCAACTAAAACACGTCTTTCCGATCTAGCTTTCAAATAAGGAACAAAACAAATATCATTTTTTTAACCATCTCCTTTCCTCCACTGAAACGATAAAAGATCGAATGATCTAATCAGTGATTTAACTTCTAGGAAGCCTTTTGTTTTAAGTAACTGTGTACAAATTTTTATATGCTATGTAAAGGCATTTCCAAGAAATATCTTAAACTTTAAATCCGAGTTTCTTGAGTACGACTTAGTCATCACATTTTTGTTACAAGTTGTCTACATACGAGGCTTGTCCCAAAAAGTCGTAGACAGGTAAAACAGTTTTGTTTCTCTTCCCTTGTCATAGCAAAGAGTAACATTTATGATCATGCACTTCCAGTTTCATGATGATTTCACATCTTATAAGAAAGTTATGGAAAAATAAAGAAAGAAAGAATACAAGTGTACCCCGGCGCACGAAAGCAAGTGTAAATTACGTCTCTTATAACGTTATGATCTTTTTGTCTGCTTCACTAGCGGGTATTAACATTCAATATTTTTTTAAGTGATAGACCACTCTTGATTAACTGACATATTTAAATTCACTACTGTTCGTTTGTTTGTACTTGTTTTTTAAGCAGATTTTTCAGTCAAAATTTAGTCGAAAGATCGCCCTATATTGTAGGTAGGAGAGAATGACGTCGTTCGCGGTCCAGATTTTCCAAATTGTCTGCGTTTATCAGACAGTACTCTACTTTACATGCCGTAATTAACCATTTTCGGTACAGAAGAAAAACTCTCATTGAATATCGTACAATTGAAAAATAACTTCTTTATTAAAATCTGGTGTGTAATGTCATTTTTGTACTCTTTTTCCCGTCTCCGATGTATATTAACCATATCCAACACAATTTATTACATCTCCGTGCGCCGAATACGCGTTTGACGACGTCATTTTCATCGAACTCAATTTCAACGACACTATGAAAATC